ATCGGAGTGATTCAAATTTGAATTTCACAATTTGATATTGTTTGAGTTTAGCTCAAAATTATATTCAAAAAATGTCATTAACCTTTGAGTCACTTGAGTTAACTTTCACTGCACAAACAAAAATTAGCTAAATCTATGAAATTCAGAATTTCATAATATTGTCATATTTTTATTGTGTATTCTTATTCAGATTAATTATGATGATAATCAATACGAGCATAAAATAATTTATTGATGAGAATTTTTGCTCTACCGGATTCTGAAATTAAAATCTAATAAGAAAATACATAATAATCAATAGAAAATAATGATAATGTTTACATAAATTTACTTATATTTGCATTTAATTGATTAATTTAATCTAATTTTTTTGTTCATTAGAAGACTTAGTGATGTCCTTAAACGGAAACGTAGTTCAAAGAAAGGATCAACAAGTGGTTCACCACCAGCATCATCCTCTTCAAGTTCGTCATCTTCTCTGAGTAGCAACAGCAACAGTAATAGCTGTAGTAGCAATAGTAACAGTAGCAGCATTGGTGGAGTTGCTGGAAGTATTGGTGGTACAAGCAGTAATAGTAATAATAGCAGTAGTCGAAGTAAAAATCGAGGTGGAATCGACTCTTTGTCTATGCATTTTAACAATTGTATAAATTCGTCATCACCATTGCCATTATCCAACATGCATGGTAATAATCGTGGAGTTAGTGGTGGTGATTATGATCCAATGACAGCAAATTTAAGTTCACACTTTTTTTCGACTCCTTATCTTTCAATGCCATTCTTTCCATACTCTGGAAATAGTGGTACACCTTCATCTGGAAATTCAAGTGCAGCATCGTCAACTCCAGCAACACCAAATACAAATAGCACTGATGCTCAAACAAATTACAATAATAATAACAACAATAATAATGTTTTGACGCCAACATCTTCAAATATAATTGGTCCACAAAGAGGATTACATAATAATTTGGGATTAAATGCTTTTGGTTCTGGTTGTCCATTTGGTGTAACTCCATCTTCTTCTTCATCATCACCTTTGTCTGGCTCAAACACACTTGGATTTGGATCATCAAGTGGATTATCTTTGAATAATAATCCAACTGCTTCAACCTCAACATCTTCATCATCACTCGGAGGAGGCTTACCAGCAGCTCAAGCAGCAGCACAGGCAGCAGCACAAGCAGCGGCAGCAGCAGCAGCCGCCGCAGCCGCAGCTTCCGCAGCAGCAACAGCAACAACAACAAGTCGAGGTAGCAGTCGATCTTCATCTAAATTAAGTTCAGCTGCAGCCAAGACGTCATCATTTTTTGCCAATCTTTATCCAGCTCGATGGCGTCGATGGAATACTGCAGGTCCCAATATAATTGGTTCTAATGCAGGTTCAAATCTAAGTAATCGTAAATCGATGCTGATTTCCCAATCACAAGATCAATTGGGTCATCATCATCATCACCATCATCATTCTCACTCCCATCATCATGGCCATCATAGTCATGGTCATCATAGTCATAGTCACCATCACCACTCTTCTCATTCACCTTCTTCTTCTTCTCATTCTCATCATAACCACTCACACCATTCTCATCATCATCTTGCAGGTTCATCATCTTCGACATCAGGATCACCTCGATCTCCACATTCTTCCCATTCATCTAATGGTAATAAAGAGAAGATACGAAGTTGGATAAGAGAACAAGCAAAGGCATTTGTTGAAAAATATTTCAACAATGAGAATGAAATGAATGAAGCAATGAGCACATTAAATCGTATTAATGGAGCAATAGAAATATTTGAAAACAGCTGTGATTTGGAAGGATTGAAAGAATTTCGAAGTGTACTATTGGATGGAGACATTTCTCCATTTGAATTAATTAATTGTGGAATAATTGGTAAATTAATTACACATTTAACTTTCACCGAGGATGGAGAGGAAGATAGGAATATGAGGATTCGACGTTTTCTTCATGTTTTCCTGGGAACTCCTGTTGATGATAATACTGTGATAAATGATGAAAATGAATTGAACTTGGATACTCGGCCAATGTCAAGTCTTGTCTCAAAATTAAATGCTTGTATCTCACAATTGGAGCAATTCCCTGTTAGAGTACACGATGTGATTGGAACTGGAACAGGTAACATAAGGGGGACAAGTGCATTGAAATTTTTCAATACCCATCAATTGAAATGTAATTTAGTTAGACATCGAGATTGTACTACTTTGAAACAATGGAGAGGTGGACCTGTTAAAATTGATCCATTGGCTTTGGTGCAAGCAATTGAAAGATATTTGCTATTACGAGGTTATGGTCGTGTTAAAGAAGATGATGATGATGGTAATAGTGATGATGATAATTCAGATGACGATTTTGAGGATAATATGGCATCAGTTGTGATGAATCAGGGCCAAGGTCGTCATAAGATACAATTTTTAATTGATGATCGTATTCTTCCATATAATATGACAGTTTATCAAGCTATAAGACAATTTAGTGGAGGAGCAGGTAATTCTCAATCAATTGATGGTCATGAAACTGATACTGATTTTGATGGACCAATGGGTAATTCAAATATGTGGGTAACAACTCATACAATATATTACCGTTCATTGAATGATAGATTACCAAGTGTATCTTATCCATCAGCTTCGACATCTTCAACAAACTCAACTCCAACTTCAACTGCTGGAATTATTGGTACTAATACTAATACTAATAACAATAACAACAACAATAATAATAATAGTCGAAGTAGTCGATCTGGACGAGGAACAATATCAGCAGCAGCATTGTTGTCAGATATAACGCCAATATCAAATATGACAAATACAGTAGGATCAGGATCGTCATCATCATCATCAACACCATCCTCTTCTGTTTTGAATCATCATTTAACTTGCTCAGGAAATTGTGCTTCAAACAATGGTCATTCCTATTCTTATCCTTCCACATCAACATCTTCAATGACACCTTCATCATCAACAGCAATTTCTGCATCTTCTGGTATTGGTAGTAGTGGTATTAATACTAGTAATACTACTACCTATGGACGTCGTGCAGCATCAAAATCAGCAAATAAAAACTCAACATCAAACTCTCCATTATCTTTTCCGTCATCAATATCATTATCATCATCATCATCATCTGGATCAAAGAAGAAAGATGAATTATGGCTTGAAGGGAAAACACCAACGATCTCATCAATAGTATACAATTATTTGATTCCTTCATTGCCAAATTGTGTTAATATTGAAGATTCTTCTTTGGAAGTAATGAGTCTATTGAGAATTTTAAATGCATTAAATCGATGTTGGAGTTGGTTCTACAATTTAACAATCAGTTCAAATCCTGCCATACCGCAAAGTGAATTTGTAAATAGTAAACTAACAGCCAAAGCTAATCGTCAACTTCAAGATCCACTTGTGATAATGACTGGTAATTTGCCCCAATGGTTATCTCAAATAGCTTATGTATGCCCATTCCTGTTTCCATTTGAGACTCGTCATTTATTATTTTATATAACATCATTTGATCGAGATCGAGCTTTACAACGTCTTTTAGATACAACACCAGGATTGAATAGTAGTGATACTAGTGAACGAGTAACACCGAGATTGGATAAAAGAAAGAAAACTGTAACTCGTGAAGATATTTTACGACAAGCTGAATCAGTATTTCATGATATTGGTAATTCAAAGGCATTGTTGGAAATTCAATATGAGAATGAAGTTGGAACTGGATTAGGTCCAACATTGGAATTTTATGCTTTAGTTTCAAAAGAATTACAACGAGCTGATTTAGATATGTGGAGAGGTGAAGCAATTACTTCGTCAAGTGTGATTATGCCTCTTTCATATTCAAATGATAAATTAGCAACAACAGGATCACCACATTATGGATCTAATGAGATGATGATTGATATAAATCAATTGCTCAAGAATGATGTTACCAAAACAAATCGTAAACATTGTAATACTAATCTTATTCAACAAAACCAACAAAACCAGAATCAGAATCAGAATCAGAACAAGAATCAGAACCAAAATCATCAATCACACCGTCATCACCAAAATCAACAACACCAGCAGCAACAGCAACAACAACAACAACAACAATTATTGTTACAACAACAAGCACAACAAGCCATTCAATATATTTACTCTTCTGAAGGTTTATTTCCATCTCCAGTTGGTAAATCAACAAAAACTACCTCTTTGTCCAAATTAAAAAGTAGATACAGACTACTTGGAAAGTTTATGGCCAAAGCATTATCTGACTCAAGAATGGTAAGAATCTCTTTTGATCATAATATTGTTAATATTATATTCTTATTAATATTCATTTAATTTAACATTGGCGTTTTTATTTTCTTTTTTAGGTTGATATACCTTTAAGTATACCATTTTACAAATGGCTTTTGGGTCAAGAATCCACTCTAAATGTGTCAGATATGCATTTTATTGATTCAACTTTAGCAAAATCTGTAACAAATATGTATTTAATTGCACAAAAGAAAAATCTCATGGTTAGTATTTATTTTGATAATAATTAATAAAATTTTCAATACAAACAATTATTATTTAGACAATTTATTAACATTAATTTTTGTTGATTAAAATTTTTAGGAAAGAGGAGTTTCTGGACTTAACCGAGAATCCTTAACTTTAAGTGGAGTTGAAATTGAAGATCTTCATCTTGATTTTACTTTGCCTGGTTTCCCACAAATTGAACTACGTAAAGGAGGTAAAGACATGTCTGTTACATTGGAAAATATAGACCAATATTTACGATTAATGGTACATTGGACAATGGTTGAAGGAGTATCTCGACAAATGGAAGCTTTCAGAGAAGGATTTGAATCTGTTTTATCATTAGCACAACTGCAAATATTTTATCCAGAAGAATTGGAACAACTTTTCTGTGGTTGTAGTCACCAATCATGGGATTTAAAAACACTGATTGATTGTTGCCATCCAGATCATGGTTATACCTATGACAGTCGAGCAATTAAATATTTATTTGAAGTACTATCGTCATTTAATGGTGATGAACAACGTAAATTCCTACAATTTGTGACTGGTTCTCCTCGTCTTCCTGTTGGAGGATTGAAAAGCTTAACACCTCCGTTAACTGTTGTACGAAAAACTTTTGAACCTGGTGAAAATCCTGATAATTATCTTCCTAGTGTAATGACTTGTGTAAATTACTTGAAACTACCAGATTACTCTAGCATTGAAATAATGCGAGAAAAACTATTGTTTGCTGCAAACGAAGGACAACATTCTTTCCACCTCTCTTAGAAAAAAAATCTTTCCTCTCAAAAATTCTGTCTATTATGATACAAAAAGATTCTTTTCTTGCTCTCTCTCTCTCTCTCTCTCTCTCTCTCTCTCTCTCTCTATCTTCTTTCTCTTTGCTCTAATGTTGTTAAAATTTTCTCTGTCCAAATTGCAACTCTGTTGATGGCCATACAAAAAAATTTGATCAATATCTAAAAAACCTATGTATGCAATTTCTTAACAATATTCATTCTCAAACCATTAATCTTATATTCAAATAAACATAAACTTTTTCGTTCAACTCAATTGTATCGATTCAACTTATTCAACTTTTTCTTACAAATATAATCGTCTCTGATAATTTTTCAGACCATAGCGTAAAGCTTTTTTCAATAGGTTGATGAGTTTCCGAACTTTGTATTATTGATTGTCTCCGTTTCTATGAACCATCGTACAATTGCAGAGCGTTTCTCTAATCCTTCAATTCTTTATGCACATTTTGTTAGTTTCTTTGCGTTTCTAGCAAATGCCAAATGACTGCTGTAGGTGGGTTTATCTTTAATTTAACTATTAATACAATTGAATCGAGGCTATTTTCATAGGCTTCTAAAGTTCTGTCAATCTTACAATTGTAATTTGTTTTTGGCTACCATTTTTGACAAAAGTTGAATCAATTGAACAGATTCTCAGACAGACGTTTTTTGCGAGTTATTTGTTAAATAATCCCGATTAAAAGTTCTTCTTTAATTTTAGTTGCTCATGGTCTTTTTATTCCAAGATCTTCTCTTTACTGTTCCACTAATAATTAACTAAATTAAACATTTAAATGAGTGTAATGGCAAAAATTAGAAACATTTACTTTCCAAGTTGTTGCTAAAAAGACACAACTAATAAAATTGTCAAATTCATGCATAAATTGACGCAAATACTGACAGAGAAATGAGCACAAACGGGTAAAAATACATTTCTTTCAAATTTGGGTTCTGAACGCTTGTAGGGAAATGAAAGCTAAGTCCATTTATGCGAGGTAAAAATTTCTTCGATAAACAGTTTTTGAGAAAAACGAATCCAAAGTTAGAACTTTGATCGTCTTTTGTGCAGATAAAGAAGCGTATTATTTCATGAAACTTATTTTTCTGATGTAACTTTTGGTTGTCAACCAGAAAATTAACCTATTTTTAGAAATAAAATTTTCGATTTCTAAGCAAATAGATAAGTTCGATTTTCAATTAAACCTTCAGCATTCTATGACCGCAAGAATTAAAGAACTGAAACTTATTATTGTTGAATGAAAATTGTTGGTAAATATCATGGATTGAATATCTTTTTGAATTTACCAACAATTCGCTTGATTTCGGCCATTTACCTAAAAACTTTGAACCTCGATAATTCGAGAATAGCATTACCTACAGCCATCATTCTTTCATCAATTTAATCATGTACTAATTAAACATTCATTTCAATTCAATAACTTTGCGTTAGTACATTCTGGTTTTGATTTTTGGCCTGTAGATGCAAAAGCAATAACTCATTTTAACAAATATCTTGGTAAATAAACCAATTTTCTGGTTTTACTTGCAAATGAATTGCAAAGAGTGCTGCCAGAGACTCAATAACTTGAGTAAAGAGTTGAAACTTGGATTTGCTTGTAGAGAAATGAAAACTGAGTCTATTGGTGCTAATTAATGATTCATCCGATAGACAGTTTTCGTGAAAATCGAGGTCAAAGATGAAACTTCGATCGCCTTTTGTGCAATTACGGAAGGAGATTTTTTCATAAAACTCATTTTCCAGAGCTAAAGTTAATTGCTGAACCAGAAAATGCACTTACTTTTAGAAATAAAATTTTCTGTCCAAAATAAAGCACATAAGTTCGAGTTTGTCTTAAACCGATCTATCTCTGAGACCGTATTAGTTATCGAACTGAAACTTATTACTCGTGGATAAAAGTTGTTGGTAAACAATATGGATAGAATAATTTTTTCTATTTAAAGATAGCTCTCTGGATTTCGGCCATTTACCTAAAAACTTTGAACCTCGATATTTCGAGAATGGCATTGCAGACAGTCATCATTTTTTCACCAATTCAATCCTTTATCAATTGCCTACTCAATACAATTTAATAAATTTGCATTAGCACATTCTCATCATGATTTTTGGGCTGTAGATGCACAAGTAACAACTTATTAAACAAAACAAACTCATATTAACCCATATCCTGGTAGATGAAGCAATTTTCTGGTTAAACTTGCAAATCTTATGCAAAGATTGCTGCAAAAGACTCGAACATTTGATTAAAGAGTTGAGAAATGGTGAGGTTTGTAGGGACATAAAAATTGAGTCTATTGGTACAGATTAATAATTCATCCGATAGACACTTTTCGAGAAAATTGAGGTCAAAGATGAAACTTCGATCACCTTTTGTGCAATTACGGAATGAGATTTTTTCATAAAACTCATTTTCCAGAGCTAACTTTTAATGCTGAACCAGAAAATGCACTTATTTTTAGAAATAAAATTTTCTGTCCAAAATTAAACGCGTAAATTCGATTTTTACTTAAACCGATTTATCTCTGAGACCGTATCAGTTAGCGAACTGAAACTTATTACTCGTGGATAAAAATTTGTTGGGTAACATCAGGAATTGAATATTTTTTACCATTTACCAACTGTTCTCTAGATTTTGGCCATTTACCTAAAATGTTTGGACCTCAATAGTTCGACAATGGTAGCACCTACAATCACCAATCTGTGACTCAGCATTAGATTTTATTATGGGCTATGATATATTTAAATTCTAGATACTTTAAGAAGCTACAAATTAAGTTATAACATTGCATTAGTTAGGTTGGCGGATTTGATACCAGATTGACAAAAGTAAATGTTTACTTATCACGTGTTAGCAGAATATACATTATTAAATGAATTAGATGAGATTTCTTCGGTTTTCAGTCATATCATGCTATAGCTGATAACAGAAACTAATGATTAAATAAAGAATGACGATTGTAGTTGCTACCATTGTCGAACTATTGAGGTCCAAACTTTTTAGGTAAATGGCCAAAATCTAGAGAACAGTTGGTAGATGGTAAAGAATATTCAATTCCTGATGTTACCCAACAAATTTTTATCCTCGAGTAATAAGTTTCAGTTCGCTAACTGATACGGTCTCAGAGATAAATCGGTTTAAGTAAAAATCGAATTTACGCGTTTAATTTTGGACAGAAAATTTTATTTCTAAAAATAAGTGCATTTTCTGGTTAATCATTGAAAGTTAGCTCTGGAAAATGAGTTTCATAAAAAAATCTCATTCCGTAATTGCACAAAAGGCGATCGAAGTTTCATCTTTGACCTCGATTTTCTCGAAAAGTGTCTATCGGATGAATTATTAATTAGCACCAATATACTCAGTTTTTATTTCCCTACAAACAAATCCAAGTTTCAACTCTTTAATCAAATGATTGAGTCTCTGGCAGCATTCTTTGAAATTCATTTGCCAGTTTAACCAGAAAATTGGTTTATTTACCAAGATATTGCTTATTATGAGTTTGTTTTGTTGAATAAGCTATTACTTTTGCATTTACAGCCCAAATATCAATACCAGAATGCGCTTATGCAAAGCTATTAAATACAATTGAGTGTTTAATTAGTACATGATTAAATTGGTAAAAGAATGATGACTGTAGGTGAAGCCATTCTCGAAATATCGAGGCTAAAAGTTTTGAAGTAAATTACCGAAATTGAACGAACCGTTGGTAAATTGAAAAAAATATGTAACCGATGATGTTTAACAACAGTTTTTTATCTAAAATAGTAAATTTCAGCACTTCAGCCGAATCTGAAAAGAGAGAAGAACCTTTAATCGGGATTTATCAACTAATAACTCGCAAAAAACTTAACGTCCTGATTAATGGTACTGAAAGAAACAAAAAAGTAAGCTTGTGAGAATTTTAAAGTCAAACATTCATTCGGCATTTGCTACAAGGGATCAGAGAAGAGATGCTCAAGTATTGGACAGTTCTTAAGTCGTACGATGATGCAGAAAAACGAAGCATAAACGAAATAATTGTGACTAGTTAATAGCTAGAATCGCCAAGTTTAGAGTGGCCGCCAGAGCAGTCAATCAATAATACAAAGGTTGGAAATTGGTCAATATATTTATTAAAGCTTCACGCTATTGTCTCAAAAATTATCGACGATGATGTATACGAAAGGAAAAAGTTTAATAAGTTTGATACAATTGATTTGAACGAAAAAGTTTATGTTTATTTGAATATAAAATTAATGGTTTGAGAATGAATATTGTTAAGCAATTTCATACATAGGTTTTTTAGATATTGATCAAATATGGCCATCATCATGATCGCCAATCACCATCGATCACAGAATTTCAATCAAATAAAAAGTTATGCAAATTAAATTTTATTAATAGTTTTAAAGACATTCTCACTTTTTAACGCCATTCACAGACTTGATTGTTATTAATTCCAATTCGAGTTGGTTAATTTTAACAGTGCTCACAATAGTAAACATCAGTAGAGCAATTAATATGAAAGCTCATAAACATGACTTGAGTAAGAGATCAATATGCGTGATTCAATAAAGAAGGGATTCAGTAGAAAATTTTTTTGAATGGAAGGCAAATCCAGTTTCAGGTTAGTTCAGAAAGGTACACTTAATCGTCATTAATCTTTTGGCAAGCCAATTTTTCAACCAGAAATGACCAACATTGATCATTTCTTATCTCGCGATTTATGCTTCATACTGGAATTAAGAACAAGTAAACCAGCAGTGGCAACACCAACAATACCAGCCCATTTAACCCAATCGCTTTGCCATATATTGTCAGATGTTTGAGCCTGAGCTTGAGCCTGAGTTTGCCTGGCTCCACGCGCAAAACTGTCCTTAGCAGCAGTTCGATTTGTAAGTCGTCTAACATAACAATCTTGACAACCATCTTCATATCGATCAAGTGAGACGTAATTTTTCTTGCATTCAACACACAGAATTTGCAGAGCTCCAATCAGGTTTCTCAATGGAAGAGGAGCTTTACGTATTTTAGCGATTGAACAAGGTAAAGATGACATTGGACAGCTATTCTTCCTCTTAAGCCAACCTTCTAAACAGGCTGAACAAAAAACGTGTCCACATTCATCAGAGACTGGATCATCGTATACTCCGAGGCATATTGAACAGATAAACTCATCGTTTGGTTTCTCCAGAAACAGACTAGCTTCATAACCCATTGTTGCTGTGAAATAAAAAAAGTATTCAAATAAAATAAAGAATAAATCAAAGATATTCGAAGGTAAAGACCGAAAAGAGTTTCGCAGTGATGATTGTGAGTGATAAATATGCAAGGTGATGATGATTACAATTAGACGTGGATTCTATTGCTAGGCCTATCGAGCTGACAATCTGTGTAAAGTTTAGCATAGTCTATTTGGCATAAAACCCAAGTAGACACTAAATTGACCACAAAAGTTTTGAATTTGTACTGGTATTGATGGAAAAAGATATCAAATTTCCCGGATAATAACATCCACTTAACAATACAAGTTGAAATGTATATCTCATATTACATATTATTAGATGAACGAATCTCAAGGTGATAAGGAAGTAGACAAAAACAAATAAACCATATTACTTACGTTATAAATGATTAAAGCAAGTTTCTTCTGTTGATTTCAAGTTGATTTTGAAGATTTTCAATGTTACAGAACGGAAACTATAATAGCTAAAACAATTGCGATAGGCTAAAACTAACAACAATTAGAGGAACATATTTACTTGACAACAAGAATGTTTTGAAGTTGAAATTTACCATAAATGACACTCCTCCTGTACATGCTCTATGAATGCACTCTCGACATCCATGTTTAAGATGAGTTTTGAAAGACTGCACTCCAAAAGAGATTATCAAAATTGTTCAAATACAATAAGCCAAAAGGGCCAAATAGTCAAAAAGATTACATTAGTATATTGGATATCCTATCCATCGTATTAGTTAGGTACGAGCCAACCAGGAAAACCATATTTGAATTGCATTTAAAATAAAATCCAGCCTGAAAACTGATAATGAAGTTGATTTCAAATTACCATTAAATAAGATCTCAATTAACGAATACCACGACAGTGGGGAGATGATTAAGGATACTCAATCACTCATTTGTGTTTTGAGATTCTAATTTAACTACAATGAAATCTTTTGTCTGTTTTCTATTGAAATTGACTAATAGTATTCTGACTCGACTGGTTTGATTCCTATCCTTTTTAAAACCTGAAGATGTTCCTATTCGTGTTTAATAAAACAAGTAAGTTTTAAGCTGCTTACATTATACATGTATTTAAATCAGCATACTATGATGATGATGATGATGAATTAGTAAAAATCCCTGTTTAAATAATCGATAGTAAGACTGAATTTGCATGGATAACGTTATTAAAGGGAAACCGGACGGTTAGTAAAAAATTAAACATGGAGTTGAAGACAAATTTTAGACAATCCAGGTGAGTACAGGTGCTTTCTCAACTAGCTGGAGATCACTAATTAATATCTGGAAATCTCGCATTTTCGCTTTATTATATTTTGTTTGACTGTTTTGGGTGATGATTTAAGAATAGGAATTAGCATGGATTTTGTTTTGCAATCAAACGGTACTTTGTATCATGTTAATATGGAAAGATCAATAATATTGCCGAATAGTTTGAAAGGTTTAAATCAATAAGTGAGATTTGATAAACTTTTAAAATACATCTAATACTAATCAGATGTAAAATACATAAAAACGCGAATACCTTTTTATTTTGATTGAGCTTTTTTAAGAATCTCGATAACTTCTGAATCTTATACTTTCCAACTTTTCATTTTAGTTTTGTCCAATTTTAAAGACTCAAGAAAAATTGAAAAGAACGAAAAAGCTATTGAACTAACAAGATACACTGACAATATGTACTTATCATTGTAAGGGAAAAGTATATTATAAGTATATTAAGTTATTCCAATAGATATTGTGCCTCCAAAAATAGCATAAAAATGTTTGGATTTACTGAATGATATTACTAGAATTAAGGAAATATGCATTTGCAATATTATCTATAATCTATAAAACAGCTAATATACCGATTTAACGATATTATAACACGACCGACCTAAAATGGAGTTAAATAATCTGAACCTGAATGAGAAATTACAATCTAAATGCCTTCTAGATCGAAGTCTACAAAGCAAGGTTGTATTACAGATTTGTTGATTGACCTAGACTTGCTATTTCCTTAGGCATTGAAATTCAACATTTACAGTAGCACCTTTGAGTGACGATAAAACCGATTGACGACACTATATAGAGAAAATTTTGTTTATTTCAATTTTAAATCAAAAATTTAAATATTCGTCTAATCAAAAAGACCGAAGCCCATGTCGTCATCTTCTTCTTCTTCCTCTTCTTTCTTCTCTTCTTTAGCTTCTTTAGCTGGTGAGCCACCCTTAGCAGCTCCACTGTCACCAGAGCTAGCAGCGGCGGCGGCACCACCACCACCTCCAGAAGGCACTGAAGCAAGCTTGGCTGAACCTATATTTAATGAAAATAAAAATATCATCAGAAATTGATCTCAAGTTTAAACATAAGAAACTTAAGAACTCAACAATCATAAGATTCTTGAAATAACGAAAAATAATTTACCTGCAGCGATCAATTCTTGGAGGTTTTTGCCAGCAAGTTCTTTAATAACTTTTTCGGCTCTCTCTTTATCTACTTCGATACCGACTGCACTTAATATGCCAGAGAGATCATTGATAGATGGGCTAGAATTACCACCAAGAGTAGATAACAGGTAAGCACTCAAGTAACGCATTTCTGTAAGAAAATAAAATCATTTTACATTAGTAATGAATTTTTAAAGAATTCACTGCGATTTCCACTGATAGAGTCAAAACTTTACTTACTTATAAGATTATATAATTATATTTTTACAATAAATAAATTGAAAATTAAATTAGACTTGGAATAAAACTGAATTACAGCAAGAATAGGCAAAGTTTTTATAAATGTATATTTTAACCACGCGATTCTTCACATGCACTAAGGAAGTTAAACGTGTAGGGACTGTTCAGTCATTGCATTAATGCATGCATGTAGATTGCTCTTGCAATTGAAATACAGTTAAGGTTTTTCCTCCCTTTAATAATTAGATGTAATGCAAAATAAACCGTTAAATATCATAAAATTTTTACATATTGCTGTTATTTCAACTTTGCATATGTAAAATCACGGGTATGTAAAATTCATGAATCATTCAATCATTAAATTGCTCAGTTAATTGAGAAATGCAAATTGAATAGACAAGATATTTATTGAATTATATTACAAAACAGAATAAGAATTTTTTTGGATTCCTTGATTTAATAATATAGACTACAATGGAAAAAATACTGGTTAACATCATTATTTAAATGACTGCATCTTTTATTTGTCCAAATTATTGTAGCCATGAGCAGCATACCGACGACGGTCTCTTGACATACTGACAATCAGATTTTCTCTTTCATGGTAAATGAATAGTTTTCTGCCTGCCAGTACAAGTAAAAGTACCCAAGTAACGAATAATGTCCAAATGCCAAACTGGAAAATGAATAGAAAATTTTGGTAAATTACTAAGAAAGTCAAACAAGGTAAAATTTGTTTAATTTTTAGCTCAGGGGTGAAGAAATTCACCTGAACAGTTCCCATTTGGATGGAGAAGTTCGAAGTATTGATAACTCCATCCGGGCTGCTAATAGAAAGGATTCCTTGTCCGGCTTCACAGGAACTGAATCTTTGTGTAACTGCTCTACACCATTTTGAGAATCCTCCTGTGACAAATATAGCCGCAAGAATCGTGAAGATTACAGATAGTAAGGCAACTATTGTATCCCAAAACGCCGAAATGAATGAGCTGTCAAAAGAACAAGAAATGTTACCAGATAGTGCAAAGATTCAATATTTATGGGTATAGTTGAATACCTGTCAACTCCTCTTCGCAAAAAGTAAGACATTCTGGTTAATTGAATCAGAGAAACTAGATTGAGTTGACACGAAAGCACAGTTGTGTAGGTACAATAACCGGAAGAGGCCCATTTTGGAACGAAATCTCCTGTATCAAGAAATATTCCAGAAGTATACAATAAACAGTTTCCTTTCATGTCACGCAGATTAACAATCAATGGTATTAAAACACATAAAGATAATATTGTTGAGGCAGCATAGCCAGCAATTTGGGTTAGCAAAAGAAAATTACCAACAGCCATGTTTTACAGGACAATAACAATGCAATAATTGATTGTTTAGTTTTTCATGTTAGGCTGAATGGTGAAAAAAGAAATCAGAGATACAAAAATTAGATTGTTGTTTAAGAGTTGAAAATAAATTGATTTACTTACATAAAATTTTGAAATCAGAGTTTGAAATTGTTGAAAATAGAGCAAATTGTAACGATAGATATGAAATTAGACAAAAAGAAAATATTTATGAACGTTTATTGTGGCGATTATCATTTGATCTAACAGACCACGGATGAACGCAGGGTGGTTTACTCAATTCTCGCTTGTATTGTTTAATGTACTCAGTATCACGAACAGTATATCTATCTTTAAATTCTTCTTCTAGTTGGTCAATGAAAGATTTAGGTTTGTTTACTTCATCACCACTGGTATCACTTTCTGACATAATGCTCTATAGTAGATCAATGAAAAAGATTAAATGTGAGCAACCATAACAGAGTATCTCTCGGAAGGATTTCTAATAAAGGAATAATGACTGAATAAAAAAAGATTAACGATTTAACAGTTGATTAACACAACACTGGCAGATTTCAATTGAAAGATAAACAAGCCTGAACAAAAGATCAAAGACGAAATAAATTTCTCATCAGCTGATTGAGACATGCCCATTTTTCAACATTTTATTGTCAATAGATAGCGCTGCTAGTACGATACAGTTTTCTTTACAGAAACAAACCCTTACATCCTGCATTTCCGTTTGATTCGGTGTTTTAGAGGTTTAATTTAGTTTAATTTTTCAATTTAATTTTCTTAAATTTTTTGGTGAGTTCGATCAAGTTTCGTGGTAATAACCTTAAGTGAGTATTGTTTGGATTCTTTTGTGCTTGAATCCTAGTGAATAATTTCAATAATTCAATACTAATACAAAATGATTTTATTTTCTTACAGAAATGCGTTACTTGTGTGCTTACCTGTTATCTACTCTTGGTGGTAACTCTAACCCATCTATCAATGATCTCTCTGGCATATTAAGTGCAGTCGGTATCGAAGTAGATAAAGAGAGAGCCGAAAAAGTTATCAAAGAACTTGCTGGCAAAAACCTCCAAGAATTGATCGCTGCAGGTAAATTTTATTTCGTTATTTCAAGAATCATAGTCCAATATATCATTACTTATTTGTTGAGTTCTTAAGATTCTTATGTTTAAACTGAGATCAATTTCTGATGATATTTTTATTTTCATTAAATCTAGGTTCAGCCAAGCTTGCTTCAGTGCCTTCTGGAGGCGGTGGTGGTGCCCCTGCCGCTGCTGGCTCTGGTGACAGTGGAGCTGCTAAGGGTGGCTCACCAGCTAAAGAAGCTAAAGAAGAGAAGAAAGAAGAGGAAGAAGAAGAAGATGACGACATGGGCTTCGGTCTTTTTGATTAGACAAATATTTAAATTTTTGATTTAAAATTGAAATAAACAAACTTCTTTATAAAATAAAGTAATTTATTGCTTATTTTTTAATCTCTGTTTATTCACAATCAATCGTTTGCATATGTTGATACTTCAAATTATCAATAAATCATGTTATAATAAAGTGCTACATGTTAAATGCGGATTATTTAGTAACATCAAATAATTTAACAATATTGAAAATAGGTCATTCAAGCGGTAAAAAATATGAAGATTCAATTTTTCCGCCATTTAAGAAATTTTACAATAATAGACATCGCGATCTAACGAAACAGATTTGAATATAAGATAGCCTTTATTATAAGTATCTTGGACATGATACTCATCGGAAATGCCACTTCAGGTCTGTCTGTACATCGTAAAGACTAGTTTACAAAGAACAGCATTTTCTGACAACATTATACAATTGAATGTTCGTGATGTTTGTGGTTAACGAGATCAGAAAATAGGAGTTTCGGTGTCGATTTCTTTGGCCCAAGATGTCATACCACCAATTATATCTTTGAATTCAATGTTATCGATGTCAGTTAAATTTTCCTTTGTGAATCGACATGCTTTTTGAGAGGCATTACCCCTTCGACAAATAAAATACACTTTATTAACCTTCTTATCTTCAATCATTTCCTTAAGATTATTCATTCCATCATTATTTGTAATCTTAGAAAGTGGAATGTTGTAAGCATGATTCAATTTGAAGACGGATGCTTGAACTGCTGGGCGAACATCAATCAATAAATGAGGAACATCTTTGTCAACGACTGATTCCTTGTATTCAGAACACGTCAATCTTTCTTCAGGAGCAAGAATTTTCAAACTTTTATTTTCTTCACACATAGGTGTACCACAAAAAGCTTCGTAGTCAACCAATTGGTGCCCGATTGAGGGCGAGTCACCACAAACTGCACAATCCTTAGATCTTCCTCTAATTGTTACAGTTCTGAAAGATCCTGCTAAACCATCAAAAAGAAGCATTTTTCCTGCATAAGAGGGTTCCAATCCAGTAATAATTTTGATTACTTCCAAGGCTTGTAGAGAACCTATGATTCCAGGGATAACTCCAAGAACACCTCCGTCACTACAATTGGTAACTGTCCCAGGTACAGGTGGCTTAGGGAAAAGACAACGATAACATGGTGTTTCTTTATTGTAATGGTAAATAGTTAACTGTCCTTCGAACCGTAAAGCAGCTCCAGAAACTAATGGTTTTCCAGATACAACAGAGGCATCATTTATCAGGTACCTAGTTGGTGCATTATCAGTCGCATCAACAATAACATCATACTCTTTGATAATGTCAACAGCATTTGTCTTATTAAATTTTGTGTCATAAACAACATAATCAACATCTGAGTTCAATTGATTCAAAGATTCCTTGATAGAATTAGCTTTAGATGTTCCCACTCTTGATTCAGTGTGAAGAAATTGTCGATGAAGGTTAGAAAGTTCAACTTTGTCATGATCAACTAAACCAATTTTACCAATACCAGAAGCAGCAAGATGAACGGCACAAGGACAACCAAGACCACCACAGCCAACAATTAAAACGGACGCTGATTTAAGTTTAACCTGGCCTTCCTTTCCAATTTCAGGAAGTAATAATTGGCGACTATAACGAGATATTTCTTCTTTAGTTAAGTCAGACATGATTTCCTGATGATGAATAGACAGAAAAGTTGATTAACAAGAATAAGAAAATATTGAGTTATTCTTTAAGCTTATAAGAATTAATCGAAACAGTCAAAAATTATGTTACAGTCAAAGGGTTGAAGTCGTTACCAATGAAACTCTCTTTACACATCTCGTCATAGTAATATGTTTTCGAATAAAATGATAGGCAATGAATTAATAATCAATTCAATACATTGCTAGGTAAGCATCATTAAGAGCTAATCTTTATTTAAAATGTTCATTTTTTATTTTATTCCCAGACGTATTACGGTGACGAACTGCACGAAGAAAGTTTTAATGATATCACCTCCATTTTCATTGGTTACATTGATATCTCTACAAAGCAAAATTAAATTATTCGTGAAGCTCATCTAAAACGAACAGGTTCTATTATTTGAGGGATGGTAAAAGACATGAAATAAAAAGACAATTAAAGAATACATACGCAAATGGAAAACAAAAATTATTGATCGATACAGTATTAAACTTTTTTCGATCCAATAATCAATTGACATGAAAAGAGAAACAATTTCAAAGATAATCACTAGAACGTTGACGAATCAATATGAGTATAACAAGAATCAAGATTGAACTAATTAAAGATGAACACAAGGTTTTTTGATATTTAATTATGAAAAAGTAGCCTAAACAATTTTCTTTACACCAGACATTGTTTTGCTTTATTTACAGTAATTTGATGCACAAACATCTGATCTCTTGATGTGGTGCCGTCTATCGATTTATTTATTAGTTAATTTTCTTTGTAATGCTAACAAAATTTAATTAACTTAACTCAATTAGTAAATTAAATATCCAGTTTGATTTAAGTAAATGAAAGTCAGTTTAGTTACTCTTTATTTCCACATGCTTTTGATACACCCTTTCGTTGGAATGAAGTTTGTGCTTAAGTAAAGACAGAACTAGGAAGAGAAGAAAGTCAAAGTGTTGAGGTTAAGAAGAAACCTGAAGACTATCGTAATCGGTCGAGGAAGTTAACTTCAATTGAATTATGGAGCTCACAGAATCAGAATTTCGACTAAAACTGTCTAATCCTTTTTTGATCCAACATTTGTATTGAAATGATCAAAATCTTTTAATATCATTGCGCTACCAACTTCGCTGAAAGGAATTAGTTATTATAATGCTTTTATTTTAGTTTTAATTTTATTTAACATAAAAGAAAATGAAATAACTATTGAGTTAACACGATGGCCGTCTCTTAATTAGGTTGGATTACATCAACTGTAAGGCTGGTTAAGGTGAGGAAACGTCCGGTTTGAGGTCTGGTTTACATTAAAATTTTACACTTTAGATCGGATGCAAGTTTTGGTGAGATTCAAAGTTGTTTCAAATGAGATTCATCAGATGTGGTTTCACCGTTCACTTAAAATGTATTCAGATTAAAGTGTTGAGATTCACTGTTCACTTGGCGAGATTCACTGTTCACTAAATGTCACTTGAGATTCATTTTATTTAGCACAAGTTAGAGTTGGAGGTATTTTACCATGTAAGATCATCAATTGAATCACTCTTTAAGTTAATAGATAGGTCTGTAGGTAATTGTAAATAGAAAACTAAGTTGATCACCACTACATCACAATATATTCATTGGTTAAACTCAAATATAATCTGGTCACATCGGAACAGGGCTTCCGCGGGGTCCTAAAACGGCCACGAACAAAGAGATTGTCGGCCATTTTATGCAAGATAAGGGAGAAAATCTTCTCCCGCATAAAATGGCCGACCTCCAAAATTTGCGCCAATAATGGCCTTTCCCTACCTACTGGAGGTAGGGAAAGGTAGTAACTAAACAAAAACTGGTTAGGACCAGTTTTCTCACAGTTGACCGGGGCACCAAAAGAACGTCCTCGTTCTGTAAATATAAACTAAAATATGGATTAATAATAGGAAAATTATATGTTAAACAATGAAAATGTGTGATTAATATGCATGGCGTTTCACCAATCGTTAATGGATAAATTTGAATTGACCATTCGTCTTATGGTTTCTGAGCTTGGAACGTAATTTATATAGTCTGCTAGTTTTAAATACTCCATATATCCTCGTAGAGTTACTCTCGCATCTCTCTCTGGTGAATGTCCAGCGATGGTGTTCGTTGGATCATCTCGTTTTAATTTAGGTTTCTCAGGGAAGAAGAATTTATCAACATAAGTTAAACCTAACGGTTGTTGACCAGGCCATAATGATTGTAAATCAATCCAAGTAATATCGTTATCCATCAGATGAGTTGGCGTAAATTTTAATAATCTTAAATCACCATCTCCTTGCGTGATGACTCGTTTACCTCGTAATATATTAAGGACGGTTGAACGGACCTGATGAAAAGGTAGACCTGTTGCTAAATCAATAGGTTGTAATCCAGTTATTTTCGTGTTCGAGTAAAATGAATTTTCTGACTTCACTTCGGCATAATATATGGTTTGAATTCGTATTATATTACCAAACCATCCGGATATGTGAATATTACCAACACCTCCACTTCCATTCCCTTCCATGTCCAATGAGAGTGTAGGTAAAGATGGACGACCAATTGGTTCTAATTTTTCTAAGATTTTTGGATCATATTTTCCAGGTATCTTGTACCAAATGTTACCTGTGAATTCTCTTCTTAATTTGCGTCGAAATTGTCTTCTTTCTTCTCTGCGTGCGTTAACAGGTTTCACAACAGGCTGGATTTGTAAAGTGATTTGTCCGACTCTTTTAATCAAATCAGGACAATTTTTCCTAAGATGTACATTACTGGAGCAAAATGAACAATTTTTACATTCAATTTTTGGATGGTCAGGTGCAAAGCATAAACTGCAGTGGAATAATGGTATCGGAGTGAGTTCGATCCATCTCGATCGCCCGGTTTTCTGTTTAATTCTTTTAGCTATTTCTTTTATTTCTTTTATCAGGAAGTTATGAGCATGATTTATTGCTTTCTGTGTATAGGCTGTTACTGTTAGTTTTGTGAATTTATGCATTTTTGGTGGAGTTCCTGACATTTTACACCCTGGTATTGTTTTCTCACATATTTATTAGACTATCTTATTATAATATCTTATTAGACTATTGACAGTCAAAATAGCTGTAAAACCACGTTTTTGTTATCGATTTCAATTGAAGCCATTTTTTGATTTATTAAAATATATTGAATTTTTATAATGGTTTCTAGTCCAGATGCAGTTGATCAACTGAAATACTCGTGACAGAAAACTGTAAATGAGTGTAAAAGACGTAACCAGAGTGCAGCTCTGATCAAGAAATGAATTTTCCCAGGCTCAGAAGTCTTTCTCTCTCGTTTCATCAGTTAACTCAATTCATTTGACATTTTTCACATTGAATACTTTCATATTGATTATCTTCATTTTTCCCATTTTTCTTTCTCTCTTTTCTCTTATCTCATTCTTCCACCTTCATGTTATCGTAACAATATTTACAAGAGTTAGCCATGAGTTTGCAATATTGTGAATTGAATCGTCAATGTGACAATAATATTATGTACAAGTCTTTTCAATTGTTGAAGCAAAAGCAAAACTCCTTCAGGGAATTTTCACGATAATAATTTTCTTTTCTTACTTAAACCAGTATTCCCTGAAAATCAAACCCAATGTCACCCATAAATACACATAGACAGTTAACTGGAAGGCACAAAAAGACAAATGAAAAGACAGAATACAAAAGAGGAAGAAAAAGAAGAATAAGAAATGAAGATAAAGATGAAGACAAGAGAGAAACAAGAAACCAACTGACCCAACGATGAGCCAAATAATAATATCCAGCAATTTTTGATTCTCATGTTATCATGAATCAACTGGAAAGCAAAACAAAACACCTAAAAAAGTCATAAACCCAAACATGTTCAAAATCTGTGACCAAAACAAAAACAAACAGAAATCAAATTTAAGTCTGATTGAATAACAGTGAGAAAACCTTTCAAAATCAAATTTCAAAAAAATCAAAGATCATAAAGTGATTACAAATATATTATTAACAAGTCAAACATTGCAACAAATGAAACCCAAAAATTAATTTTTAAAAACCGAAAAATTAAAGGCTAAAAGCAACCCAAAAAGTGAAAAGGTTAACATTGAAATCCAAGTGAAAAACATGTTACATGTAATCAAAGCCAGTGAAATGATGAGAAGGAAAAAAGCTGAAGCTGAAAAACAATTGTAAACGTGAGCTTGAAACTTTATTTTATTACAAATTCTGGGAGTGAATTTTTTCTGGTTAGCTGGGAAGATGGCGTAAAGATTGAAACATTTTTTTCACCTTTTCTCATCTTTTGTTTCTCCAACATTTGTTGATGATACCTTTATAATGATTGTTTCAAAGAAACATTTTTTCCTCTATTTTATCATATTTTTTTAAGGTTAACCGATATTAAACTTTCCCTGAGTAAACATTTTTCATCACTTAACCCATCACCATCATCATCATCTTGAATCTTGGTTATCAAAAATGATCTTCCTTTTTGTTAACCTAAATGAAGACAAATGGTTCCATTTTAATCATGGAAATGAAAAAATTTTGTTCATCTTGAAATTTCATTTTAATGTAAATGTTGAGGTGTGAATAACAATGTAATATTGGTTAACTTAAAAGACAAAAGAATCAACTTTTTGGGTTAAATTTTGCCAGCTTTGCTTTTTTCATTTAAAAATGTCAAGCTAAATTAAGATTAAATAGTTTCATTTTCAGGTTGAAAACATGATAATTAAAAGGTGAAAATCAATTATTGATGTTTACATGTTGGCCTGACAAGCAAAGCAACTCATCAATCTTGTGCTATTTAATAATGATAATAATAAACTTGGAATGAACATGAAGATGAGAAAATGAAAAGGATGAAAATCTGGTTAATCGATCAATCTTTTGGTTTAAACAGAAGACTTTGAGAGACAAAATTTGATAATTTGATTTGATTTTACAATTTAATGTTGATCAATGGTTTAAAGTGAATGAAATGAATGGTAAAGAAATGGGAAAATAAATGAAATGAAAGATTGAAGGAAAGGATTGAATGATAATTGAATGGATTGAAGGAGAAATGGTTGAAACTAATGAAATGGTCAAAACGTAAAGTTAATGTTTTCCAAATGATAACTGGTCTAATCTTGAAAAGTAAGATTTATCTAAAGCTTTGGTCAGTTTCCTATTTTTATTTTCATGTTTGCTCATGTTGATGGTGAAGGGAAGGAAAGGAAAATCCTATGAATAGTTTCAAGTGGGCAAAACTGGATTAAAAGATGAGACTTTCAGTGATGATTGAATAGCAGACAAAGTGAAATAAATGTCTATCATAATCATCATTATCTTCATTGTCGTCATCATCATTTTCCCAATCTTTACTTGTCATCTGAACAATCTCTTGTTATCATGAAGAAAAGGTTGAGAAAAGATTGAACAATTTTCTTCTTCTTCTTCTTCCACTGGAAAACTAACAATGTTGATGATAAATTGTTGTTAAACAATGTTGATCATTTTGAGCCCAATTTTCATCAACTTTCATCTCTTTTTCTGGCTCATTGTATAAGCTTTTGTTTTCAATTATTAACCTTATCGATTCGGATAATTCATTCAATTGCAAACTTGTAATAAGTCCAATTAATCCATGGCCATACATAAGGCAAAAGGAACCCAAAAAACGGATGAATGCCAATGAAAGATTAACAGCATTTGGAGTGAGGATAATTCAATATACTGTTGATAAATAATGTATAAAATGGTTTCAATTGAATCTGTCGTAATCATGATAAATAATTAATGTTAAACATCATGGTTGTATCAAGAAAAATGGATTAAATTAGGAATATAATTATCTGAATGTTGGAACAACAATTATTTTACCGACAAATGAGACCAACCAAGGTAATTGAATATTGAATGTCAAGTGAAATGACAAACGATAATACTTTCATCTTCATCAACAATTCAACCTTTTTCATCATAAACTCAAGTACAAGAGAATCGCAAAAATTCATTTTATTCAGTGATTATTTGAGATTTTTA